CCTATAATTATAGCTTGTGTTTTACAAACACATAGTGGCAATTAACTCTGATGCGGCTGGCTCTGACTGCATTAGTCATAAAATGATCGTTCCTTTATTAGATATATTGATCCCTGTCATAACTTCCATGCTTAATTTTTCTATTAATACTGGCTGCTTTCCATCCGCATGGAAAGATGCTCAAGTAATACCTTTACCAAAAAAAAACAATCCCACTACTTTCTCCGACTATCGTCCTATTTCCATTCTACCCTTTTTATCCAAAGTGCTTGCGCGCCTTGTACATCATCAACTAAGTAATTTCCTTTCAAATCATAATCTACTGAATAATATGCAATCCGGCTTTCGTTATGGTCACAGCACGACTACTGCACTCGTTAAAATAACAGATGACATCAGACTGGGAATGGAAAATCAACAAGTCACAGTTTTGACACTATTAGATTTTAGTAACGCTTTTAACACTGTTGATTTTGATATTCTGCTTGCTACATTGTGTTCTCTTAACATATCTCCAGATGTGATTGACTGGTTTTACAATTACTTGTATGGTCGCCGGCAACGAATCCGTATTCACGATTTTTGCTCTGAATGGATTTCGCTACATGCCGGTGTTCCTCAAGGTGGCGTGTTGTCTCCTCTTTTATTTTCTATATTTATTAACTCTCTCTGTAACTATATTTCTTCTCCCTACCACCTCTATGCTGATGATCTACAAATCTACCGCCAAACGACCGTATTAAACTTAACTCAAACCATCGATCATATTAATACTGACCTACTTAATATTTCGCAAAAAAGTAAATCATTAGGCTTAATAGTGAATCCAGGTAAAGACTATTTATTATTTTTTTTATATTATTTTTCCTTTTTTTATATATTACGACTATTTTTAGTGTATTTTTTTGAATATTTTAAAAGTTTTTTTTTTATTACAAGATAGTAATTCGTGTTTTTATCTTAAATAAACTTAACTAACTTTATGTACTGTATCAGTACCAAATATTTTTTTAAAATTACAAATTACAAAATTTAACTATCTGATATTATATCAACGTGATAAATAATGTAAAAAGTCGCGGGTGTACGAACACTCTTACGCCTGTGAAAGATAATAAAATACGGATCAAAGCTTATGACGGCTTGATTTAAATTGGTCAATCTTTAAATACCACCTGCTTATATATCTGATATGAAACGCGGGTTTTATTGCTCATAAATCACAGTACGTGACTTTCTGTGAACTCAGTTCATAGACTTTTTTGTGGCAGTTTCCTTCCACTGTATCTTGGCAAGATTTTCTCGATTATAGTATTTGTTTTTGTTTGAGCTGCGTTGTTAAATTTCAGAAACGACAAGGTAAGGTTTTAATGTCAATTTAAAATTATTTAGAGCGACTGATTTTAGATTTCTCAAAACTCCATTTTATCATGAAGGTTTATAATTATAATGTTTTGTCCCATAATAAAATTAGCCAAATTAAGGTTTTTAATACTGTTGTAATAAATTAATATGTTATGAAAATAATTACATAATTAAACTAAAATTAAGGAATACAGTTACGAATAAATATGTTTTTGTTGCCATAATATTATCATAATCACAAAGTAATTAAGTTGAATAAATATATTTGCTGAGATTCTTTCGTCAGTTCTTCTCAGGAGTGAGGTTTTATCTTTATAAATTGGTGGTATACTCGTTAAGTAAAATACTGTAATAAGTAGCGGCTCACCCTCGCTTCGCTCGGGTTCTAGAAGAACAAAAACAAATCTATCCCTCAGGAATCATATATTTTTTCGGAATAAAAAGTATCCTATGTTTTATTCCAGACTATAATGTATCTTTGTGCCAAATTTAATCCAGATCTGTTCAGCCGTTCTGACGCGAAAGAATAACAACGTCCATACATACAACTTTCACATTTATAATATTAGTATAGATTTAATACTGATATTTTTTTTCGGATTTGAATTACATTTTAGCTTTCGTTATATTACTACTGAGTACTGAGTCAACTTTATTTCACTCATACCCTAACTATACACGTCTTGAGAAATCGGCACTGCTTTCGAGATGAACTCAAACTGTTATTTCTAATATATTTAGTAAAACCCTCCACTTTGGTTGTTTAACTTAAATATAGGTCTAGCCAAATAACTTATTTTGATACTAAATAAACGAAACATGTTACAATCAAAGATGTTCTAAAAATATAAGCATAAACCCACAGACTGAGAGACATTTCATGTTAGAATATGTAAAGACTGTTTGTCTAAAATGATAGGTATTCAGATTAAATATAGCTATAACAATCGTGCTCGGCCGATATTCACTTATCTGACAAGTATGTTTGTAGGTCAGTCCTAAATTTACCAGATACAGTATACTAGGAGGTGTCAAATTTATAAATATAATAAAATTCACTTAAATATCTGAATCTAATACTTTCTTAGATTTACGCGAGTATTTGACATTTTAAATAAAACTTACTTTACGTACTTATTTAAACTAAATAAATTAATAATATATATAAAGTAATGCCATATTTGAATTTTTGAAACCATTTTTGTAAAATAATGGGTAGGCACTGTCTGTAACAAGTATATACGTTTGAGACGTCTATAACCTTAGTCTCTCCTATGACCATAATTGCTGTAAGCCATTCGAAACGTCGGGAACCAAAAATCAAAATAAATCCGCGAAATAATCAGAAAAGATCGTTTTATTTAAAATGAGCCGAACCTGTACATTAAATATTTTATGGAAAATCTTATCGAAATAGTCGTTATTATCGATACAGAGGCTCAATCTATAGTTTTTAGAATTTATGTCTGTTTGGGAACTCATCACGAGAAAACCACTTGACAGATGATGAAATTTGGTATGATGGTAGATGGTTACATACTTGATATTTTTTACTGTCCCACCCCCGAGAAATCTATACTAACCGTGAAAACATGCCTAGAGGCCAACCCCAGCGGAGCAAGAGTGAATCGCTAGTTCATATATATTTTAAATCTATACATATAATAAAATTGTAACTAAGCCGAATCTGTATATTAAATATTTTTTGGAAAATCTTAATAAAATAAACATTATTATCGATACAGAGGCCGAAACTATAGTTTTTAGAATTTTTGTCTGTGTGTCTGTTACCGCATCACAAAAAACCACTGGATTGATTTTGATGAAGTTTGATATGGTGATAGCTGGTTATCCGGGTCAACATATAGAATACTTTTTACCGCGGGAAAATATCTCATTTATGAGAAAAAAATACAAAAACTGCAATGTAAGAGTATACTAATATTTTAAACCTAAGAATTTGGTTTTGGTCATCTGAACGCGGGCGGAGCCGCGGGCAATTCTAGTACAATTTAAATATTGTATTTAGCTTCATATGTACTTGTTTGCGCTTGATTATGATCAATCGTAAAAGGCATAAATATGCAAGCATCATAAGTGTAATAACTCGTTTGATGTTTTGTAATTATCCAGAATGAGATATGAATGTTGACTTTAAAGGGCTCTTCAATATAAAATATTTATTAACATGTAAGTATAACATATTATGACGCACTGAATTATTTTATTTTTAAAGTACATGCGCGACTGTAGAGTTAAAATCCATACTCTATACAGGTAAATAAAATTAAAGTGTCTGTTTGTAATTTCAAAATAACAGCGTTTTACTAAATGCATATGAAATTATATACGGTACTTATAAGAAAAACATATTTTTTTAAATTTTTGTTTATATCTGTCTGTCTGTTTGTTCCGTATAATCTCTGAAACGGCTGGGCTGATTTTGACGGGGCTTTCACTGGAAGATAGCTATAGGGAGTAACGTAGGCTACTTTTATTTTAGAAGAAGAATTAGGGTTCCGCTCAAAAAAATTAAATCATGTCTAGGGACGAACCCAAGCGAAGCGAGGGTGAGTCGCTAGTATTATATAATTTAAAACTTTTGCGACTAACATTATTTCACTGACTGAAATACATCTGCATGTTACTGAAAGGTTCCACAAGACAAGACTAAGTTTTCAAATATTATATTTTCCGCTTTGTAGTTTACACAACAGGAAATAGGATAAGTTAGGTATCATGTTGTGATTGAATATTATCATAGATATTATATTACTAAGAAACAAGATACAGCGTACTGAACGCAAACTTTTGGCTGGTTAAAAACCAAAATATTGTTTTTAACATTATGGGACTACGAATCGCCTGGATAGATGTTGTATTCTACTATATCTTAAACATTTAGTATTTGATTTTTTAAAGTCATTTTAAATGTGACCATTGGCTTTAATATTAAATTCCAGCTTGTTTTATTAAAACTTTGGAGCTCACATTTCTTTAGGAAATCGTTTATTTAATTAAAAAATGGCCAAATTTCATTTGAAGATATTGTTTCCAATTTTGCTGTAGAATCTTTCAGTGTGGGAATAATTACAAAGCAAATCAGCAAATTGTAATTCAAGAGTTTGTATAATCAGGGGATTCATTTATTTCGACTTTCATTTCATTTGGGAAGATTCATTCGGTCGTAAAAAAGCCGCCCCGTCAGGAATAATCGGTTCTTACACTCGAAACCCCCTTTCTCACACCTCATAACAGTTTACGGGAAGAGCTCTTCACGATATAGATTATACTAACATATATGTATATAATAATGTTGTACAAGAGGTAAATACAGTCTTTAAATACAATTTTCGAAATAGATTTCTAGGATAAAGCACGTTATTCTATGTGAAATTTTATTGTGGATCGTCCAGAATCGTACGACACGAGAGTAGTTGGTGGAAATACGCGAATGTGTTTATTTGCGGTGCTTGGAGCGACGCGCGACGCACGCGCCGACCATGCCGCGGCCACTTCAGTTGTTTCGTGGGTATCCGTGCGGAAGATCGCGTCACATTTTCAATTTCATAAGCAACACGGAACACTCTAACGGATAGTAAAATATATCACATGTGCTCGATAAATAATCGAAAATGTCTAATGAAAAACAGAGACCGAAAAGTTTACCTACGGAGGTATTGCTAAAGGCTAGAAGCACCTTGTTTTCACTCGGTGGCGCGTTAAAGTCAAAGGAGCAGCATCGAAAGTCTAAAGAATTGAAAAAGAAGAACAAAGAAAGATTGAAAAGTTCTAAATCGGAGCCAGAGTTTAGTGATATACGAAAAACAAAACACAGAAGTAGGATCGACGATACACCTCGTGAGTACGGTGTCAGACCTAGACCTCTTTCGGTGGGAGCAATGAAACGGTATGAAGACGATGTGGAATTTCACTGTGGAAGTTTCCAAAAAGACGCATCTTTGCAGCGCCAGTACGACTCCACGGATGACGTATGTGTGCAGTCACGGCTAGTTATCCCGATTATCGAAAGGCTCGGCCAAGATCTTTCGGATGTTAATGAAAGACCGCGTAAAAAACTTTCTTTTCGTGAACCGGAAATTATTGGTAGTGCGAGCGCTACGCTAGGTCGTTCCCACAAGCTAATGGGTGTAAATAGCCTCACAAGAAGACCTAACAGGATATCGATACGGTCTGACATGCACTCCAGTTTAGATGGCTTAGATTCTGATTTAGAGGTGAGTTGTATGTACCAAATAAATTTGATCTAATACCGTATACAGAAATAGCTACCTGATTTTTGAATTAACATTATTATTTATAGTATACTAATTCAAAAATATATATAGTTATAATTATTTATTAAATGTTATATTTTAATTTATTTGTATATATTTTATAGTTCTACGAGTATCGTATTGGTCTTTCAGTCACCAATTTTAAAGAAATTATTTTAAAGAGTCTTGATAAAAGAAGTTGACATTAACAATAAACAAAACAATGTACATATAAAAAAAATTCTATTAGAACAGTCTGAAATTTATACACAGTTATTGTTTTCTATCCAAAGTTTTAAAAAGACATTGTAAAGAAAAATATATTACATATTTTAATTTTCGAAAATGTGGTATGGCAAATCAAAAGCGCTAAGAATTTTTGTGTGTCAGTCTGTCTGTCTGTCCGTGGTCTCTCATCTACATGCTCTTTCTCAAAGTGAAGAGCATGCTTAGTAGTTTTTGACTGAGCAAATACGCTAAAATAGCCAAACTAAAGAATGCTAACTAGTAATATTAAAGCGTGCAAAACCAAAACCAAATTTAAAGGATTAATTGAAAAGTCCTTGTGTAACCTAAGATATAAGAAAAAATCAATAAGTAAATAAAAATTAAATAAATTAAAAAAAACTATTATGATCCTACTAATATTATAAATGCGAAATTTTGTGAGGATGTATGGATGTTTGCACGTATATGTATATGGATTTTTGTTACTCTTTCACGGAAAAACTACTGAATGGATTTTAATGTAACTTTACAGTAATATGCTATATAGGCTATTTTTTATCCGGGAAAAATGTACGGTTCCCGTGGGATAGGTTTGTTTTTGTTTTTCTGTATGTATACAATATATTCTTCATCACAATATTGAGATTCGCGAAGGTATTGCGTAATATAACAACATAAAGACAATGAAGATTATTAACACAATTGAAAGATGGAATAGAATAGAATATTGCGTGAAAAAATAGCTATTTAATATAATATTAATATGTTTATGAAAATAGTAGTTAAAAATAACATAACCAAAGGCACCCCTTTTCTCGAATACATACACGGATACTCGAATACATTATCGGAATGACGTCTAGAAAAGATGCTTAAGTGGCATAATTATGTCAACACTGCCAAATTGCTGGTTCTGTGAAAAGAGCAGTTTTGATTCTTGGAAAATGAATCAAGTAGTACTTCCGCTTTTAGAGGCTTGGAAACGTATAGCAGTTTTAGAATAGTGTAGGATATATATATATATATATATATATATATATATATATATATATATATATATATATATAATAACATTGTAACTGATCGCTGTCAGTATATGGAATATCTGAGAAAAAATATTATTGGGGGTCTTTATTAACGCAATAGGATCCAAAACAATGAATTATAGTATATTGTCTGTTTATCGGTTTGTCTGATTCTGTGCGCTTGTGCGAGTTAATCTCAAAAACGGCTTAACCGTTTTGGGTGCAGTTTTCACTAATATATTGTGACAAGCTTCATTTAACATTTAATATTTGTTTTATTTTAATTGGTTAATAAATAAAAAAGTTATGCCAATTTAAAGAATCTTCTAGGGACGAACCCGAGCAAAGCGAGCGTGAGTCGCTAGTGGCTGAATATATTTAACTCATACCTTTTATTTTCACATTATTATTATAAATAAGAATACCTACGGCTCTTAATGACTCTCAAGCTCGTAAAAATGTTGTGTATATATAGTTAATGCACTCACAAATGTAATGGTAGAATTTCACAGTATTTTTCATAAAATTTTCTACAAATGCAATTGTGCATTTTGTTTCTTTATAGAAACACAAGTTATGTTAAGATACCCTTCTATTTTTATTAATGAACGCAAAGTGTCGAAATGAATTTATATCTACACTAGCAAAACCCGCGGCATCTCTCGTGCTAAAACTACAAAAAAACTCTACACAGGTATAGGTTTCATACAAAATTTCATCCCCTACTCTACCCCCTTATTGGATGAATTTTGAAAAATGTCAAAACACATAAATTTAATTGTACTGAACAGCATAATTATTATTTTCTTGAGTTGTATTATACCTTATATTCCCTTGGTAATGAGATAATCTTCCGTGGTAAAAAGTAGCCTATGTCACTCTTCAGCTTTCCAACTATCTCCACACCATACCAATCCGTTACTCTGTTTGGACGTGAAGAAGGACAAACAAACAAACAAACAAACAAACAAACAAACAAATAAACAAACAAACAAACAAACAAACAAACAAACAAACAAATAAACAAACAAACAAACAAACAAACAAATACACTTTCACATCTATAATATTAGTATGAATTACTATATTTAATTGCCTCGGTGGTGTAGTGGCTAGCACTTACGGCTGCACACTCGGAGGTCCTGGGTTCGAGTCCCGGGTCGGGCCTACTTTAGTTATTGAGTCTTTCTGTATAGTAAGTCTCAGTAACAGCCCGGAGTTGGGAAGCTGGCGGTGTTTCACCCCCGTGCCTCGGAGAGCACGTAAAGCCGTCGGTCCTGCGCCTTAACTCTCACTGGTCGTGTCGAGCAGTCGTCCCACCGGAGTATGAGAGTGATAGGAATAGAGAGTGCACTTGGGTCTACGCGTACACTTGTGCACTATAATATCTCCTGCGCAGTTGGCTAGTCTTAATGAGATTGGCCGCCGTAGCCGGAATCGGCTAGGAGGATATCATCATGAATTACTGTCCTCAAATAAAAAAATCTAAATAATAATTTGCAAGGATAGCCCTACGATCGTGTATTCAACTATGTGTATGTGACAAATAGATCGTATATTTATTACTACTTGGATAGAGTCTGAACTAACCTAGAAATAAAAAATATATAAATAGAAGTTATATTTATATATACATATTTATTTATTTTGAGTGTATATTTTAAACACAAACTATCTTTTCGGATTTTTCGCGAATTCAAAATAATTTTTGATTCTCGACGTTTCAAATGCTTTAACTTTACGGCAATTATGGCAACGGGAGAAACTTTCGAGGAAAAGAGTATAGTTTTATTTAAAATACCAAATATCGCGCAAATCTAAGAAAATATTATAGAGTGGATATTATTTTATGAGAATCATACACAATATTTACATAATCAAAATATTCAGCTAGATTTACGAGGTCTTCACACTATCAAATAAATACAAATAAATAAATATATTAGGACATTTAACACACAGCTACATCTAGTTCCATGGTGAATTACAAGGCTTGTGTTATGAATACTAGATAGTTGATACACTACACATATATTACTTTAAATACATACATGTTCTAAATATAAACACCCATGACTACAGTACAGTAAAGAGACTAGAGTATGTCCGTAGCGGGCTCGAACCCGCGACCGCTGGCACAGCAAGTACAACTACAAACTAAGCCGAACGTGTGATCTAAAATAAATCGAGTGTCACTTAAAATGGTAGTGAAATAAATTAAATAACACTGGATTCACAGGAAAATGCAAATATTCATATATTACTTATTAACACTTATATTATATTCATGTCACTTAAAGTAATTGAATAAATCATCATAATTCGTTCTACGGGAAACAATTCTATATCCACTGTAGCAGTGTAGAGTAGTCGTTAATTTTCATTAATGTCAAAATTTATGCGCACTAATGAAGTTAGTAAAAAGGTTCAACTCAGATAATAATATACGTAATATGAATATCCATACTTCCATACTTAATATTATAACTACAAGAGTGTGTTTGTTTGTTTGTTTGTTTGTCCTTCTTTAATGTCGAAAGGGAGTAACGGAATGACGTGATTTTTTATGTGGAGATAGTTGGAAGGCTGGAGAGTGACATAGGCTACTTTTTACTGCGAGAGATAATCTTATTCCCACGGGAAAACACGTTACAATACAATCCAAAAAATATATATAATTAGTATTACTTAAAACTTGGTATTAATGCTCTTCAATAAAATTAAATAAATATGTGTTTTAGCTCTTTGCAAAACTCATCCTATAAGGGGGTAAAACAGGGGATGAAATTTTGTATGAAACTACCTTTTTAGAGATTTTTTTGCAGTTTTAGCGCAAGCGAAGCCGCGGGTTCTGCTAGTTTTAAACAAATATATAATTAAAACATAATATGAACTAAAATGTAACAAAATCAAAGTTTATAAAGAGTATTTGATAGATTTGTGCTAGGGAGTGTAATACAGTAGAAAGGGAGGAAATGTACCATTATTTAAACTTTTGTCCATCTGTTTATTCAAACATTACTCGAAAACTTCTTTCAATTAAGCTTTTTTTACTAATATTATTATGATGTAAAACGGGAAATTTAGCATATTTAGCATTTACTTTCAAGATTTCCCCATATTTTAGCGCTGCTACGAGCGTCAGGTCACTGCTGCTTTCTTGCTAAATAACATTTTAAATAAACTAAAATTTAGGTTTGTTAAAATTTCATTTTCATTTCGCTATTATAAGGTGATTTAATTTATAAAAGCATTTAGTACTGTGCAACGTACGTGTTCGTATTATATATCATCACACCTGGCAACTGATTAGTGGCTGACAGAGTAGCCGAGTTCCTTTGGCAGTTTGCCGCGCCTTGAGTATGTAAACTTCGTTTGATTTGTGCGTTACTATAGTAACCAGTACTGATTTCTGAGTTTAAGGTTTATTTTCTTAAAAAAAATTTACTTCCTGCCCTTGTCCCAATTTTTATTTGGAGTCAGCAAAATTTGTTTTCTTCTTCCATTCTACTATATCATTCGTCATTTTCCTGCTTACTCCCTTTCTAGCCATATCCTCTTCCACATAGTCCATCCATCTTTTGTTTGGTTAACATATTATATTTTCTTAAAAAAATATATGTTGTTAAATAAAGAAATGATAGCAGATGTGGAAAATAGCTTATGTAACCGATCACAGATCATATATTACTATACTAGTGATCGAAA